CAATCTTGTGGGTAACTAAAGAGCGATGACATGTAAATGAATCATAGAGGTTCGTAGGAGCTTTTAGAGCTATCGTTCATGCTCCTAGGCCTCTAGTTGGTAGAGATATGTCATGTGGTAGTATAAGTGATGTCATGTAATGAATCATAGAGGGTTGTAGAGATATGCTATGTGGTAATATCGGCCCAGTAACTGAGGAGCGATGATGTGTAATGAATCAGTGTAACGCTGACTTCTAAACGATAGAAGACACAGAGGTTCTCTTGCATAAAGGTTTACTTATCAGAGGAGGCAGGGGATCAGACACAAAGGCTTCAAGTAACACGTTACTAGTATATAACAAATACTGTATTGAGTTGAGCACGAAGCTCCTATCTAAGGAAATACTATCTACTTATATAGTGGCGTCGTGCCTCATGGGTAATCTGGATAGTTGGCGGATAGCTAGATATTCAGGATAGTTCGTGGATAGCTCAACTATCCAATGTCCACTAGTTTCTGCAACTATCCATTAGCCCCGTCACATGGCAGCCTACCCCGCTTCCCACTGTGACTCACACGTCACGTTATGTGACTCACACGTCACGTTACTAGGCCCTGGCCCTGTAACCATGACATCATGTTACTATAGCCGTAACATATGAGTGATGTCATGTAATGAATCATAGGTTGTAGAGATATGCTATGTGGTAATATCGGCCCAGTAACTGAGGAGCGATGATGTGTAATGAATCATAGATGGTTGTAGCAATCGTTGAGTAGTATTGCTCTTGTTGTTGGTGTGATAAGCCAAAATATGTATAGTGACTTGTAGGTTTGAGGAGGAGATTTCCAAGTTTGCTCTTGAGTTTGATAGCAAAACTGAGTGCAACGAATGTCAGTATGACACTATTCTATCTCCATGATTAAAGATGGAAGTATTTAACCCAGATTATTGTTGGCTAAACCCAACTAAAAATTGGCGGGGCATTTTGAAGGTCAATTCTGGGAGCTATATACTAAACATTACGCCAACCAAGAACGATCAAGGCAATACCAAGACCAAAATAGCGAACTTGATATAGACCCAATGCCTTTATTATTAAACCAGAAACGAAGTTATAACTCTTGGAATCAAAATACTGATCAGGGAGGAGAGATAGAGCAGTACCTTGCCCTCCGTAAGTTTATAGTAATAATTATAGTAATTACCACTAACTATTATTAGCAGCCTCCAATCAACCACCATTACTATGGTGGAAATATAACGAAGGACAATTTCCTGGCCTTGCAGCTATGGCCCAGGATATACTTTGTATTCCAGCTTCAGAAGCTCTTGTTGAGCGAGTCTTTAGCACTGCCCGGACAGTGTGTAATTACAAGCGGAACTGAATGGCCCCTGAAACAATACGGGCAATTATGCTTGTTTATTACCGACAGAAGATTGAACGAGAGCGGCAATTTGAACACTATTCAGTAACTGATATTATTGATTCTACTAATATGACTGAAGAGGAAATAAGAGTATAACGCTATGGTTGACGCTATTCAAGACAAGATGGCAATACAGTATATTCCTGATCGAAGCTCTAATATGCCAAATACTCATAACAAGACACAGTGGAATTGTCATACTGACATTTGTTGCACTCAGTTTGCTATCAAACTGAAGAGCAAACTTAGAAATCTCCTCCTCAAACCTACAAGTCACTATACATATTTTGGCTTGTCACACCAACAACAAGAGCAATACTACTCAACGATTGCTACAACCCTCTATGATTCATTACACATCATTGCTCCTTAGTTACTATGCCGATATGACCACATAGCATATCTCTACAACCCTCTATGATTCATTACATGACATCACTCCTTAGTTACTGGGCTAATACTACACATGACATATCTCTAGCAACTAGAGGCCTAGGAACATGAACGATAGCTCCAAAAGCTTCTACAACCGTCTATGATTCATTACACGTCATCGCTCCTTAGTTACCCACAAGATTGGTTAAGTTATGACATAATCTGTCTATAGGGGTACTCTGACCTTGGACCTCCTTTCACTTCCTATAGGCTAGGAACCTAGGACATGGTTCTATGGGATTCTCTTACGTCGACTACAGTTACCAAGCTTGGTTAGTCATGGAAAGTCTTGGAAAATGAGAGAACTACACTCCTTTAGCATAAATAGGATTGCCCTTTCCTTAAGAAAGGGCAAGCAGACAATACAGTAAATCGACTATCACATACTTCCACATCTTTTCCAAGCTTCCAAGCATTGATCTTGTTACTCCTTGTTACTCCTTGTTTCTGGAAAGTCAGTGAGGTGCTAACCTCTGACTTATCCCTGAGTTCTCAGACTCAACATTTGTTACAACTTGTCTAAACCACTCCACTACATCATACACCTGATTGCTGCATTGTGGAATAGTCTAAGCTACGACCCTTTGGCTCTTTTTCCTAAGACAGTGTGTTGTCTTAGTAAAATCATCCCTTCCTTGGGTGGCTAGATTCTCACATCTGGTGCACCCACCATTACAGGAATGAGGAACGTTTAGCATTTATCCAAAAATGACGAGAGCTCCATGGCTTACAGAGGGTCCAGCAAACACAACGCCAATGCCAGAGTCAAGCTGTTACATCTACATTTGATACAAACTACCAAGAGTTAGATGATGAGGTAGTAGGGCTACCACCAAGTCAAAACGATGGTGATTATCAATTACCTTCACTGACAAGGCCATCTTCTATTGCAAAGAGGCCACATAATAATAATGGGGCTCAAATTCTTCAAAGAGAAATAGTCCCATCAATTGAATCAAGCCAATTCCGTAACACGTCGCGAAATTCAGGAGTCATGGCATAATGTAGATATATAGTAACAATTATAGTAATTGCTAACTACCAACCTATCTGTCTAAATTACTTGTAAAATATCCACTTGAAATGTTAAGGCGCAAATATCACCACAGTGATTTATAGGCATGTTAAACCCTGTGACCGGTCTGCCAAGAAACTGGTGGGGGACCGTAGGTTTGGAGGCTTCAGACCAGACCAGACCGTGGTCTGAGAATTTGGAACCAGACAGACCATGGTCCGGTCTGGTCCACGGGAACCAGTGGTCCAGGTCACCCATGACGCACCCTAGAAAGGGCAAGCAGACAATACATTAAATCGACTATCACATATACCTACGTCTTTTCCAAGCTTCCAAGCATTGATCTTGTTACTCCTTGTTACTCCTTGTTTCTGAAAAGTCAGTGAGATGCTAACCTCTGACTTATCCTGAGTTCTCAGACTCAACATTTGTTACAACTTGTCTAAACCACTCCACTACATCATACACCTGATTGCAGCATTGTGGAATAGTCTAAGCTACAACCCTTTGGCTCTGTTTCCTAAGACAGTGTGTTGTCTTAGTAAAATCATCCCTTTCCTTGGGTGGCTAGATTCTCACATCTGGTGCACCCACCATTACATACTGCCCCGTAAACCATATGCCTATTAGCTCCTAGCCCTAGGTAATACTGCTCTAAAATCCATTCCTTAAGGGCTTCTGTCTGAGCTGTAGAAAGCACCCTATTCTTACCCCCTCGTAATGGCTTCTGTAGGCGTAGGCGGCTGAGGCTTGACTCTATGGTCGACCTAGGGATGTGGAAAATCTGACTTGCAACACCTGCCAGCCATTTACAGGCATTTGATAAAGGAGTCTCTTCATTTAGCTTAAGGTTATCATTATACCATGAGTCCATATGAAGTTTCCCCGGAATGATAATGGCTTCTGCAATTGCTATACCACTTGCATTTACTCCCTCAATCACAGTAACAGAGAGCCGATTCTTAGGATTATCAACAGTCCATTGCTTTACGCCAATCGGCACAATAACAGCTGTAGATTTATAACATCCAATCATGTAGCTGGTCTTGTCAACATTCTATAAGTTATATGGCTTAATGTTGTGTTTTGTAATAAGTGCGTTATATGTAAGGAAAAATTCCTCAAACACCTCTTTCTTTTGTGCATGCTTTCTATGCATATTTAAAGACTTCGTATGAATCGAGTGGAATTCAGGGTGTGCCTTAAGGAAGCGTTGTAACCACCGTTGCGATGGGATCGTACGATCGGGTCGTAGGTCCGCAACAGCCCGTAAAACCATTGATTGGTCTGGAGGGACCCCACGCTTAAGTTAGTCATATATAAATTGACAAACTGCAGTATCTTGTACTTGATATAAAACTCGGTTTTGACCCCCGCGTCGGAGTGTCTCACGGTTGACATTAAACTTGCAGGCAACCCAAGTAATTGTATAAGTATCTGGTTGTTTCAAGTAGAACTGCTGGGCCTCAATAAGACGGTCAGCTCGACTTGGATCGCTATTCAAAGGCGTGGAGGGTTGTTGTTACGACAAATATTATTATTTCATCCATGTATCAAAGTGGCGGTGTACATGCACATATCGCTTTCGCGTGCACAGATCGCTGTCGCCACCTACGAGCGAAGCGAGGGGGTGTCCTATTGCCTGTCCATAGGTGTTTGTGTAGGGTAGGGAGGTCCGTTTGACTATAGGGTAGAGTAGTGAGGTGCTTTAATAGGAGGAAGGGGAATCACGTTTGCATTAGGGTCCATGTAGGATCCGAACGTTACGAGGGTTCTCATTCTAAATCCTTTTGAAGGAGGTCTCGTTATATGCTACATCACGGTAGAGCTCTTTTGTGCTAAGTACTCTTTCTAAGAGGATACGCTATATGGACTAGATGCCATGGGCACTTTGAGCTCATTTATTGATTGTGTATAATTGTAGAAGAGGCAGAGATTCCCGACCGTAAGATAAACCTCAGGGTCCGTTCCGACGGTTACAATACGAAGGTGAAAGAAATTTCATTACCATTATGAGATCGCTTGCTAAGATGGATCATTTAGTTTGGTTGGGGTTAGCATAATCAACTAGGCGGTTTAGATTTGCTGTAAACGGACTACTTTCTAAGATGACCACTAGACGGCCCAAACCCATTACATGCACAAAAACATATACTGATTCCCTAAGAAATACCAAAATCTATCTACGCCCCACTACGACACGGCTGTTTGGTTTTGTCTGCGGGCGGCTGGCTGGGCTATTGAAGGCGTGCTGTCAGGTCAGAGTAGCAATACCCATCATCCATAACTCATAACCCATTACACATTACCCTTTCCCCCCTAATTCATACTCCCCCCACTCCTCCCCCCCCCAATAATCCCCGCCATCTCCAACAACGCCCTATCAGCCTCCCTATCTCCCTTCCCAAAATTAATCCTCCTCCTCGCCTCCCCCTCCCGCTCCTCCCACTCCCACCTCCTCCTCTGCTCCTCCGCCTCCTCCTCCCCCCCACACCCCCACACCTCCAGACTCTCAATCGCGAACCTCTCTTGCCAATCCCCTCCACCGGGACCTAAAGCGGGCTCGAATGCCCCACCGCCGCGGGAGTCATGCGTGAAGACGCCGAATTCGAAGGAGGCGTCTATGTGCAGGGATACTGGGCCGAGTTTTGCGGGGTTGGCGGTGCCGGAGGCGGATTTGGAGGTTGGATGCGGGGAGCCGAGCGCGATGCCCGGGTGGGAGAGGGGGGGGTGGGTGAAGGAGAGTTGGTCGGAGAAGGTAGAGCGGTGGATGGTGTGGGTTGGTGCGAGTTGGAAGAGGATTGTGCCGGGGTCGGAGAGGCAGGTTTTGTAGGTTTGTTGCCAGGTTTGGGGGATGTAGGCGCCAAAGACTAGTCTGTTGGGATTGGCGGCCGTGCTATCAGGTAACCGTTTTGGGGGCAAAGAATCGGCAAAGGCGCGCTCGTTGCTGCTTTCTGGAATGGCGGGTAGCCTGCTACCCGATACGAGAAGGAGAGAGGGGGCCCGCCAGTTGAAGACCCGCGTTTCAAAGCTGCGCATGGAGAAGCCAGTGCTGCCGCCGGAGTACAGGAGGCGGAGGCGGTGGAAGAGAGTGGTGGGCGTTAAGAAGAAAGACAGTTGGGAGAGGAGGGTTAGGTCGAGGATTTCGGCTTCTTCAGCGACGGCGGTAGGGATGAGCGGGGGTGGTGGTGGTGGTGTGGTTGGTCGGCGGAGCGTGTGCGATGAAGGGGGTGAGGTGGGTGGTGAGACGGGCGGGGTAATGGGAGACGATGCCTTGCGCTTGGAGAGGTCGAGGGATTTGGAGAAGAGGAAATGTGAGAAGAGGGCTGAGAAGCCGTTGAAGAGGTTGGGTAGGAAGGCGGGGATGACGGTGTTCCAGGCGTGGAATTTTATGGCGGTGTCGGATTCGGTGTTGACTAAGGCAGAAAGTATGGCGTCGGCTGTTGCACGGAGCTGCTCAAGGTTGTTGCCTGAGAGTCGGTCACTGTAGTCCGGGAAGGGTTGACTGGATTCCAATGGCGCTATGAGGAGGAGGAGCATGATTATCTTGCGGAAGTTGTCCACGGGGATTGAGCAGTGGGATATCAGGGGTGCGTCGGAGTGCTTGAAGACATCATTGGCGCCGAGAGTCTCCAATGCCGATAGCGCAAGTCCATCGTCGTCATCATCGCCCTCCTCGTCGTTGGCCGGCTGGTCCACGGCGAAGCCCACATACGCCTTCGCATTCCCATTGACCTCCTCCCACTCTCCCTCCACAACCTCTTTCTCACCCTCCTCTTCACCCTTATCCCCCCCCCCTTTCCCGTCCAACCGATCAAAGACCGTCAAACTCCGATAAAGCAACACATTCCTCCCCCTCCCCCCCGCCCTCAGCACCTTCCCATACCTCTCCGTCAACATCACCACCACAACAATCATCTCCTCAAACCCCAGCACCGCCGGCGCCCCTGCCGAAAACGGGAACGCTCCCAGGTACGAGACCATCTGGAACAGCACTGGCGCGACGCCCAGGGCATCAGGGACCTGGAGGAAGCGTGTGAGCGTGTCCTCTTTTAGGTATGGGATGCCATCGGAGGTGTCGGCGAGGCTGCGGAAGACGTAGCGGAAGGAGTAGAGCTCGAGAGGGGTGAAGCAGCGGGTTGCGAATTTTTGGGCCTGGAGAGAGAGAGAGGAGGGGTTAGCTGACGGGTGCCTGGAGGAGGGGTATAGAGGGTGCATTGGGAATGGGGAATGTCTCACCAGCTGTTTACTCAGCTCTTCAGCGGTAGCTGGGCGGGTGTCCGCTTGGGATTGAGATTGTCCCATGATGTCGCAGTAAGGCCAGAATCATGGCGGCGCGGTCGGACAATATTGGAAAGTTGAAGCTGAACAGAACGTGGTGTTGTCGTACTCTCTATTATTTATTTGTGGTTAGTAGTTGACAGGCCGGTAGCAGCCTTGATTTTGCGGGGTATGACGGCTGCTTTTGTAAGCACTTTCCACTGAATTGCCACACTAATCTTGGATGTTCTTGGATATTATGACAAAAACTTTATTCAGCACACGTTTTCTTCCCAGACATCCTATCAGCAAGAGTTGACTTGGGAACTTCAAAGTACTCTGCAGCAAGTCTAATTGATTTGGATTCCTTCAATTGAAGCGCAACAATGGCCTTTTGGATGTTGTCTTCCATTTGAGCACGGCTGTAAGGTTGTTGGATTTTCATGGTGGACAGTGTGAAGATTCTAAGCTGGTGGTAGGGCATTTTTGTCCGACTACCCCATATGTCCGACTACCTCATATGTCAGACTTCCCCATACGTTACGTTACTAAGTTATTGGTATTTCTGCTAGCTATGCCTCTTCAAATCACTCCCTCCCACTTTCTCTTTCTCTCTTTCTTTCTTTCTTTCTTTCTTTCTTTCTTTCTTTCTTTCTTTCTTTCTTTCTTTCCTTCCTCTTCTCTCTCGCTCACTCGTTCTCATGGATATTGCCAATTTTTCGCCACGTTACGCCGCCGCCGCCTCTGCGCCAGAATGAATAGCATCACAACCCGCTGACTGTACAATACAGACACAATGCTCCGAACGCCTATTCAGCAAATTCGTAATCGTACAAAGGACAAATGAAAAATAGACAAAGGAAAAAAATGAACAAATGAAAATGTCGAACCAAAAGGGAAAAAAAAATGCCAAAAAAAGATATAACGATGATGCCTCCCCTGCCCCTCTTTAAACTCCGGCCGGTCCTCTATTAATGATGCTCGGGATGCCCATGTTCCGCTCGCTTGTCGCGCTCCCGAGGCTGTTGTGATGGCTGTGTCCGCGTCCATGCATGACCTGTCCCCCTATGTACTGTCTATTCCGGCGATGTTGCTGTTGCTGTTGCTGTTGCTGCTGCTGCTCGCGCATCATCTGTTGTTGTTGCTGTTGGTGGATCTGCGCACCCATCATCTGCATCTGCTGCTGCTGGCGTGTCGGGTCGAAGCCGCAGTCCGTGTCGGGGCTGACGCTGAAGTCTTGCCCGTCCAGGTCTTCGATCTCGATCGCGCTGTCGTCGGTGTAGGATGGGGGTGCGTTCTGGCCGTCGTGCGAAGCTGAGAGCCGGGCACGGCGGGTAGAGGCGCGCGCTGCAGATTGAAGGTTCTTGAGACCGCTTCCGAGAACCTGTTTATGTTAGACTTCGTTCATAGTAGCCCGAAGTAGGAGTGTTATCACATACCTTAGCCTCGACAACGGCCCACTTGTCGCCGGTGCGCTCGGCGAGCGGGCTCCAGATCTCACGGCGCATGGCCATGTACTCCTTCCCCAGCGCCTCGAACTTGAGCGTGTCCCAGTCCTCCGAGTTACGGCGGTCCATGAGCCGCTCATGGCGCTTGCGGCACGCGTTGGCAGTTTTGTTGGGGAAGTAGGCGTCCTGGATCTGTCCCCAGTTCTGGCCCTGCGTGCGCGCCGTCATGAGCGTGATGTCGTCCTCTGGGGCCCAGGCGCCGGAGGAGGAGCGGGTAGAGATGGGGATCGGGGCGGACTGTGGGATGTATTGGGGTGCTGATGCCAGAATCGGGGGGTTGGAGATGTATGAGGGTGCTTGTTGGTGCATGTGGGTCATGCGCTGGGGTCCGAGGTTGGACTGCATGGTTGCGGTGGTGGTGATGGGGTAGTAGTGCTGTTGGGCTGTCTGGTCTGCGATAGCGACGGGAATCGAGCGGTATTGACCTTGGCTGACTGAAGCGCGGCTGGTTTTGGGCATGGTATTTGCCCTGGAGATGGTCGAACGAAAGTGCGGATGGGTCGCCCAGGAAGATGGTCGAACGAAAGTGTGGATAGGTGTAATAAGAAGTGCGGATGTGAGAGAGTGCGTGTGGTCGAATGAGAAGAGTGGAGATGGTTGAACGAAAGCGGATTACGTATTAAGGACCTCACCAGGAGGATAGAGCGTAGTGTCGATAGGAAATGAATTGAAATAACCCGAGACGAGAGAGAGGACTAGGAAAAAAAGCGAAGAATAGGAAACGGGCTGGTGGAAATTGAAGGGTTGACTGATTGAAGCAAGAAACAAAAGAAGAGGGCCATGAAGGGTCGGTGCCCGGCCAGTTTATATGTAGAAACCAAGGGCCAGACGAGCTGCAGACATCCACCACCAACAAAGCATGAAACAAACCGTCTCTCGACGCTCCCGGGGACCCATCGCCGACCGATTCCAGGGTCATGGAACGGATTTAGTCCAACCCTGGCTGTGGCGACAGGCTGAGACGAGGATGAGAGCCCTGCATCGAGGGTAGGTGAAACGAGGATAAACGCCGTAGGGAGGCGCGACAGTCCATGACGTTCGAGCAAGTGCAAATTCCGGGCCGAGCGAGGTCTATGACTGGCCTGTTGGGTTGTGGAGGTTGTGTAGGGCGGTTGTCTCATCTCAAATGTCAGCGGTTAGGATTTGACGGGCGGTTAGAACTCAAAATCACGGGGTATGGGGTCGGGGGGCTGGCAAGGGGACCAATAACAGACCCAGTCGATCGGATGGAGCACCAACAACCTTCATTTTGGGGGTTTGAGTGTAAATCTGGGTATATGGGGGGTTATTGAGACGATGATGGTCTGTTCGTTCTGTTAAGTTATTGTTTACAGAATCGAATATAGCCAACCACATGCCACCATTTTAGGAGCGCGTCTATCGCAGGGCAGATCATTTAACCGACGACTCTATTTCGAGCCATACACACCCCCCTGCATCGGACGACGAATGTCCATATTTACCAACTCTCATCCCGCATCCAAAATACCCAAATTGCGATTCTGGCATTATTGTACACTAACCGTGATTTTATTTTAAAACTCGAGGGCTTGACGCGGGCAACTATCTTCAAACACCAACAATGCACGGCGCGCGAAGCTGGGTACCCCTTGAAAGGAGTTCGAAGGAATCTGGTCCCTTTCCCCAAGGGCGGCTACTGGGACGACCCAACAAACAATGGTCAAATCAGAGTTGCACAGTGTTTACCGCTGCGACAGACATGTTCCCTCCCCAAACCCACACCGGTCCAAACTGGGACATTGGCCGGAAAAGATGATAAGCCATGCGTAGATTGAGATGATAGATCTACCCTATTGAACTATTTACTATTTGAAAGTGCAAAGATGATCAAAAACGAAAACGACGATGCAAGCCCACTATTGTACATCAGACCTCAACTCCGCCAATGCACGTATTGTATAATATACCCCAAAACCGTGAACTCATGAGTTCAGGGCAAGCCAGGTCGGTCACCCTACACAGACGCGACTGTAGTCTTACCCGGGACCTCATCCTCCTCGATCTCCTCCCACTCGTCATCCTCCACCGCCCCCCCGATGGCCCTCCAAACCCTCTGCCACATCCCCTTCTTCTCCACCATCGCCAGCACCATCACCGCGGGCAAATGCCACACGCTGGCCCAGAACAGGCCGCGCGCGCTGCCCTTCAGCCCCTCGTACTTCCAGAACCGGTACGCCTCGCGCACCATCCAGAGGTTGACGGGCGTGCTCGCGACCGCAAAGCTCCACTCCGTCACGCCCACTGCACATAAGCCTATACATAGCGGGAGCATGACGAGCGAGTAACGCAGCGCCACACGTCCGTTGCGCGCGGGGTTCGTCCAGGCCAGCATCTTGTAGCCCGCGTTCTTGTACTCATGGCGAATAGTCCACGACAGCGCCATGAAGTGGGGGAACTGCCAGGCGACGAGCAGCGCAGCTAGTAGCCAGCCACCCATGTTCTCATAGCCCAACAGCAGCTCCTTCCAGTCCCCGGAGCCAGTAGCAGTCTGCCCGGCCGCTGCGGCCCAGCCCATCAGGGGGGGGATTCCACCAACGAGAGCTCCGACCCAGGTGTTGATGACGGAAACGCGTTTAAGCGGTGTGTAGACCCCTGCGTAAAGGAATATATTGAAGGCTGCGAGGGACGCTACGGTGGGGTTTACGCCGTAATATAATGCCCCTGTTCCAATTGCCGCGGATAGCGCTGCAAAGAGCACGGCGCCGCGGGGTGAGATGAGACCACGGACGAGAGGGCGGTTCTTCGTGCGCGACATCATGGCATCCCATTTAGGCTCGTAGAGCATGTTGAGAGTGTTGGCGGACGCGCATGTTAACGACGTGCCAAATGTGAGGAAGAGCAGCGTCAAGGCCGATAGCGACGGGGTGTCGGTTATTGCGGGTGAGAGGAGAGCGGGGACAGGGTAGATGGAATAAGCGGAGGTGGTGGTGAGGACAATGAGAAAGGAAAGACGCGGCTTCGTCAAGGCAAGCAGGGTGGAAAGAGTGCGTTTGAAGGAGTTTATAGGGAGATTTGATGATGCCGTCGTGAGGACTGATGAGGCGTCTGGAGGTATCACAGGTTCAGCTGCCGCTGCAGGCCCTGCTTCTGCAGATGCCGCCTCTGCATCTTTGCGAGCTTTCTGCCGCCGTCTATGTGGGAGGTCGACCTCGGGAGTCGTCTCCGTCACCGGGGCTGCCGTATCTCTTGCTGGAATTGGCGGCTGCGACGCCGTGAACGAGGTGGATGTCGACGACGGCGCCTTTGAGACAATGTGCCGAGGAAGAAATGAATTGTTGAGAAAGTAGCCGGCTCGCAATCGTTGCGCCTGGCCTGGGCCCTTTGACAGTGCATTCCTCAACACTCGCGCGGTGAATGCACGTCGTGTTGACTGTGCGGACCTCAATTGTTGTCGCGGGAGCGCGGAAAGGCATTGCTTGCCGATACTGCAAAGCGCGACAGGTGTCGCAGCCCCGAGTGAGAGCGGCCTTATGATCATTGCGGCATCTGGGTATGGAGATTGACCGGCACTTTCACAGTGAGCGTTCCTTCCGCGTAACTTCGTAAATGTTACTCCGCGGTGAATTGATTTTTCCGTCGCCGAGCAATCGTCCCCCTTGTACTCAGTACAAACAAAAATAGCAATGTGCACGTGATCTGTTGCACCTGACGTATGAGAGCAGGAATAATTAACGAGGCTGACATTCCGCCAACAGCGACTGGCCAAGCTTATTTTAGAAGAAATACAATAATCACGTGACTAGAGACGGACCAATGTTCCACGAGGGTGACATTTTTTTACCAACAACAAGTTGGCCGTGTGTGGCCCGTGCGGCCCCAAAATGTCGCTGTCACCTCCAACATAGTTGCTTCGTGGCGCCAATTGCCGCCAAAGCTTGCCAAATGAGGCCGTATCTAGGCTCTTTCCGTCTACCCCAAATATAAAATCGCTGGCTTGAATTACTCTATGAGGCAATCTGTTGAAGCTATCCACCACTCAGCCCTGGCAAGGCATAACTGGCGCGTTGTTCGGCTTGGAAGCCATCGTCGCGTCGAAGGTAAGACCAGAACGCCATCGTTTCCACACGTTAATCTCCTTTATTTCCCCCTCATATATCTTCCATCTCTTTGTGTGTTGTTGATGTTGTTACTTGTTGCTCTTGTCCTTTCTCCAGATGTATACTCCAGCGTTGTTGTTGTAGCTAGCACACTATTCCTTCGCGCCAAATCCTTCCCGCTTCGGAGCCTCGTCGGCAACGTGAGCAAAACTTCGTGCCTAAGCTCCGGAGATCTCCAGAGATACTTCAATGAGTACCTCGGGGTATCCTCCCGGTTGGGAAGCTGACTACGATGGGGAGACGGAGAGATGGTTTTACACCCATAACCCGGCAGGGGTCAGGCAGTATCACTTTCCCAAAGCTGGTGATGAGGTCGAGTTGGCTGCTGCTATGAGCAGGTCCAAGGCCGCCAATAAAGCCAAGTCGAAAGAGAGCAATACGGCTCGGAGCTTAAAGGATCTGGCAACTACCAAAGTCACACCAGGCACAAAGTCTCAAGCTCTAGACCAAAGTCAACTATCAGGCGTTCAGTATCAGAGCGTGCCACGCCAACATCGCCACAACCAATACCCAACGTTTTCAGGCAGAGCTTCCAAGCTGCTCAGAGAACTGATGCAACTACGGCCCAGCAGTTACCTCACCAACAAACCGCCCGACGGCGCTTCCTCCATTGAATACGCGGGTGCACGGCACATCAAGAACTCCCATTCAAGTTGCCAGCTCTGCTCACCCGTTACGCATTAATACCAATGCACTTAATAAAGGCGGCAATGCATCTCCGGCGCAGAGTATGTCGGCGGGGCCTTGGAACCAGTCGACTTCGAAGGCCTCTGGAGTGAGCTACAGTGGTCTCGGTGCGCCTTACTTCTCACAAGGGTCTCACAGGACACCCGATTCTTCCACTCCAGTTGCCAGCGAACCTCCAGTGGTTCCACCAAAGGTTCTAGAGTCTGACCGAGCTCCAGCGGCAGGAAGCAAATACCCTGGCCAGACATACAGTCATTCATCGTCGGTGCCGCATAACGATGCAGGTGAAGTTATCTGTTCCAGACTTGGTATCCTATATTTTTCAGATTCCGACAAGGAGGATGTCATAACGAATCTCCAAAACTTGGCCCGCATGTATCCGGATGTTACTCTATCTCAACTCGTAGATCCTAACATGGAACTTCCACGAGCAAAAGTACCCAACCAACGAAGCTCTTCGCAGGTACCTTCTGACCAAGAGTGCGAGCGCAATGCTCCTGATAGCAGCCCCCCTCCAGCCTCTGCAATATCAGCAGATGCAAGCCTCCTCATTGCTTTCGTTGCTTATTCCCGGGTACCTCAACCAACACACAGAACCTACTCATCCCCCGTTGCTGGTCCAAACCCTAGTTTCGGTGCGCCATCTCCCAGCTCTACATTTGATTACCAAAGACGTCTCCATTCAAAGTCCAATGCGTCGATTACTTCCACAGCCATTCAAACGTCACATGATAGGACACACTCTTCAAGCATTAGCTCGAGGCGCAAGACTCCATTGGCACGCAGACGTATTCACCCCAGACGAGGTCTGAACTAGCTCAAACAGCTTGGGGCCTAAAACCTGCTTCTCCCAGCACTGAAGTGCCGGAGATGGCGGCCGGTATTCCGGCTAGGCCTGCAACCACTGCTCCTATTCAAGCCGTGGAGTCGTCTCCTGGTGCGCTTGGAGGTCGACCATCAAGGCAGCACAGCGCTAGCAGGAAGCCGTTGTCTAGTGAAAGCCCAATCATGAATCGTCCATATAGGTCACTGTCCTGGCAACCACGCGACCATTCACCAAATCCTCAATTGCCATCTTCTTTGGTCAGTGAGGTGCCGGAAGAGCCATCTACGCCCCCACCGGATATTGCACAGCAGGAATCGTCACTTGTCTCAACTCCGTCAAAGGTTTACTCTGAAGGAGCCCTCCATCCAACTGCGTCACCAGAACAGCAACCCCAGGAAAAGAATGAAATCGATCAAAAGCAGCTTGACCGGTTGAACACCATAATCGAAGAACAGAATAAGGAATTAGCGCTGCTCTACCAGCAGCACGTTCAGCGTCTCCAGGACCTACAGAACCAGCAAAATGCATCTGTCTCGCATCAGCGTCACTCGAGTGTCCCGGTATCACAATCTACGCAGACCAGTGTCTATACACAGTCTTCTCTTCAGAATACCCACTACCCTCCCAGATATCCAAGTGTCCCGGTGTCGCCAATTAGCCAACCGGAGTCTCTTGTATATTCGATCCAGGAAGAACCCCGGCCTCTGTCACTACCAGAGCCAGTATTTGATACAGTCACTGGTACGCCCGATGACATTGAGCGTATAGTGGAGAATAATACTAATCCTATCGATGAGTTTGAGACAACTCGAACCCCGCAAGTGATGCCTCGCAACACTTTAAGAACCAGCCTGATCAAATGCCTATGTTTGAATGTAATATCGCCCAAGACAACATCGAGGAAGAACCCGGGGTAGACACAATGAATGAGATTAATGTGGCTGCTACCTCCGTGGGAGACCGATCGGAATCTCGCGGGTCAAACCAGACAGAGTCTAAACGGGGGTCGTGGTCTCATGTGCGGACACACAGTGCTACGCAGCAAATACCAGATCAAACAGTTCACCAACTAGAAGCCGCAGATGTTTCCATCCCACCTAACACTCCGGTAAGTGTTCAAACCGCTGATTTATTAGTAGCACAGGAGATATCGAATATACATCCCCAGACGTACCACCAGGAACCTCGACAGAACCAAGGCTCGAACGTCCCACAGTCAAATGATCAGCATTTGCCAAACCATCAACGGCATAGCTCACAGCCTCGGGTCGAGTTACAAACCCAGCAGCATTATATTACGCAAGCGAACCCAGCTTCTCAAAGTAGTCAACCTCAGTCAGCCCAGAGTTACCAGATCCCAAACACTATGGTCAGTATACGGCCCAATTCCCATACAGCATACCCAATTTACTCACTTCTACCATCAGACTCAATCAGCGGTACACGAGATAAACCTACAAAAAGCATTGGAGGCGCAAACCCAGCAACATTTCGAAGCTTTAGTCTTGCCGCCCACGCTCCGTTGAAAATTGGCTCTGTCCAGAATACTGGGTTACAAAACGAGGTATTTACAGAGCAGAAGCCTCCAGTGCCCGAAAAAACTGCGGAAATATCCACAGCACGAAGTCCATCCGGACCAGTTACAAATGATGGCCTTAAACCTACGGCTGCCAGGAATCAGCCAGTACAATTTGTCGCCTTCACCCGATCTAAAGGCACAGAAGCAGCCCCCACAGCCGTTGTTCCGACTGAAAACAAATTACTTAGCGCAAACCCATCCACTGATACCATTACAAATATCAACCAAACCCACACCCATTCCTCGAGGCCAAGGGTATCTTCGTGGTCTGAAATGGCAAAGCCCTCCAACCCGCCGCAACCCACATTTACCTTTGGTATGCCCGGGGATAAACAGGACGATGTTGCAGCGGCGGAAAGCTTGTACGATGGGGACGGATACGGGGACTACGTCGATTACAGCGACGATGGGCCAGCGTTGCCCCAATTCGGCACACCACAACCCCACCTGCTTCAGGTGCGACGAAGCACCTGAAGAAGTAATAGTTCTATTTTCGATCACTCGTTGAATTTACTATATACCCATTTGCGAATTCGATTTTTGTTTTCATCCATACCCTAGTCTAGTTTTCACCACATGATAGGATGTCCTAAATTGACTATGGTGTTGGGGCGGAAATGGACATCTGACAGGCACAGAAGACAGTACTATATATATCGCATATCGCAGTAATCAGGAGCGCAGACTCGAAGTGATGATTTACCAGTGCCGGGACAGGTAAATCCGTAGCGTTTTAAAGGCCACAAAAACAGCAATGGCTTCCACAGAAGAAATGAAGCTTGGATATGGGACTGTTGCGAGGGTCCCAGACGTTGAAGCCATCCAAAGATCGATGGTGAGACACAGAACCCTTCTTCACAGTTAGTGCAGAAGGCAAAACGAAGGACAAAGGGTATATTAACGGAGAGCCCAAAAGAGAGCTCAAAAAACAGAGCAGAAACAGAGGAGAATACCTGTCATCAAAACAATGGGGTTTAAGTTTCATATTACAGCCGTTTTATTTGTATTTAGATCTAGCTACAGCCAAGCAAATATCAAAAACCTTAATCCGTTGACCCAAGATCACCAAGCACATCCAGCTCGACAGCCATCCCAAAAGAAGCCCCTAATTTCAAGCCAAATCGTAATGTGTATATGTCGTTGATGCCATGCAAGCCAGCAAATCCACATTAGTATCCCCTCTTCCTGCGATGCTTGCTGCTAGCGCCATGAGAGGCAGTCCTTGTGGTTGTTAATGTCTGCGCACGAGGCAGAGCTGATCTTGCGGCTAGTAGTGCTACTAGTGGTGATGCTTCTGTTTTGGCGGAGGCAGCAGTTGGTGAAGCCTACGAAGGTGTTACGGCTAATCTAAGTGCTAATCGCAACTTTTCGCTTTGCTCAAGGTTGGAGGAAGCGAGATGCGCGATTTCGCTACGTGCGTCTGTTCACCGCTACTCATTAGTAAAACTTTTACCATAGCTATAGACAGTAATTTATATTGTAATCCTATACAATTCATTACATGGAGGGGACTCCTATATCAAATGCCCGTAAGTGGCTTGCGGAAAACCCCTCTGAATCTATATCAGTCGCCTGTCACATTTTCAAAGTGCCTGACTCAACGCTACGCTCAAGCATTAAACGCCGTGCTCAGAAGCTTACCCACGGAGGTCAGAATAAGGTGCTCTCTACTGCGCAGTCAGAAGCCCTTAAGAAATGGATTCTTGAGCAGTATCACCTAGGGCTTGGAGCTACTAGAAATATGATATTTTCTGCTATTTGCCAGCTCCAGAGTCTACACCTACGGCCTCCGCCATCACCAAGCTGGCTTACTTCATATATTAAGAATGAGCTTCAAGAATACCACTTTATTACTACAAAGCCTATTGCACTACAGCGTACGAGAGCTCAAGATGAGCCTACTATTACACGGTGGTTTAAAGAGTACTTTGAGTTTATACAGGAACACCATATAGAGCCGGAGTCAATTTGGAATATGTGAAACAGGCTTTAGGATTGGAATTCCAGTTGGTGAGCGTGTTATGGTGCCACGCGGAGCAAATGAGCTCTACACTCCAAGCCCTGAAAACCGTACGTCTATTACTTTCCTAGAGACTGTGTCTGCAGTAGGAAAAGTCATACCACCGGTACTTGTTATTCCAGGCAAAATACATATGGATTCATGGTACCACACCAACCTCGAAGGCACAGAGCTAGTACTGCTCTCCGACACAGGATTTTCAAACACGCAGCTTGCACTACAGTGGCTACAGCACTTTGCAGAGCACGCAACCCCTCATAATGGGAGCCCCCGAGTTCTAATACTCGACTCTCATGCAAGTCATACAAGCGATGACTTCGTCATTGCTGCAGAAGAGCATGACATCATTGTCTACACCTTCCCCTCACATCTTACACACATTCTACAGCCATTAGACGTAGGATTTTCCAGCCTTATAAGCACTGGCACCGAGTAGCTGTGCCTGCAGCCATACGAGAGATGGATATTACCTACGACCTACAGTCCTTTATGAGAGATCTCACACACATCCGGGAGCAGACTTTTAAGGAGTCTACTATAATATCAGCTTTCCGGAAAGCTGGTATTTGGCCTGTTAGCTGTAATACAGCCCTTACAAAACTATGCACCTACTCACAACCTACACCTACGCCTACACCTACGCCCCTACCAATCTGGGTTTCTACCCCAAAACCCTCTAATTTTAGGGAGGTAGAAGAGGGGCTACAGCATTGGAAAAACTGGGTTCCGGAGGGCTTTAGTAGCCCCTCAAAAGAGAGCTACAGGAATTGGCTTACTGGAACTGAAGAGGTCGTGGCCTCAGGCCAGCTTACGGAGCTTGATTTACAGACTGCCCGACGGCAGGTTGAGGATTCTAGGAAGCGGGCAAGCCGAAGCCAGGCCCGGCTTCAATTTGGAGGTGAGCTTCGGGCTGCTCGAGCTCACGAGCTCCGGGCTGAAAAAGCCGAGCTTAAAGCCCAGAAGCTCGCAGCTACAGAAGCCCGAGTAGCCCGCCAGGCTATAAACCGGGCTCGGAACCAGCTTAAGAGAGCTGGAATTGAGGCCCGGAAGGAAGAGCGTGCCCGGAAGAATATGTTGACCCAATTATACGAAGAGGCTCTTCCAATTCCTCCAGAGCTCGAGCTTCCAATTCCTGACCCAGAACACCCTCAAAGTGAGAGCGAGGGCCAGTTTGAGGGTGAGAGCGAGCGTGGGAGTGAGCGTGGGAGTGAGGAAGTGATAGTTTTGTAGAATGGCACATTTAGGTGTCTTTACATATAAATTACTATGGCATGGTACATATAACATACAATTAGTGCTATGGCTAGCGCTTACGGCTGCAACCTCACGTGATGGATAACATTGGATATCATGGATATTATGTTATCCATGTTATCCATGGCGATCCACGGAATGTCATGTGATGGATAACATTGGATATCTTGGATATTATGTTATCCATGTTATCCACGGATATCCCTTTGGCACGACGCCACTATATAAGTAGATAGTATTTCCTTACATAGGAGCTTCGTGCTCAACTCAATATAGTATTCTTTACAATACTGTAACGTGTTACTTGGAAAGCCTTTGTGTTTAATCCCTTGCCTCCTCTGTCAAGTCAACCTTACACAAGAAACCTCTGTGTCTTCTATCGTTTAGAAGTCAGCGTTACAGAAGGTATGCGTCAGTATTCAAAAACAGATAGCAAAAGGAATTCCTTACTGTAGCATTAACTGGAGGTGGTGCAACTTCTAAAGCAAAGAAACATTCTACACCTTTTCAGAGTTATCTTTTCACGGTTCGCTGATGTTTTGAAACTTGACAATTTGAACTCCGCGCAAGAGAGGCCGTCAAAGTGTTCACTCAATGGAAAATTCATCATCATGTTCATGAAGGCACCCTGTGAGTGTGGATCCTCAACTGCCCGGTCCTTTGAGTTCTCCCAATCCACTAGGAGTTTGCCATGACCACAAAAATGAGCATACAGCTCCTGGCAGTAATACTGCCCAAGCTGCGCAGTTTTGTCGAAGTCGAGGTACCCATCCACAAAGAAGAAAACCTCAAAGAAGTTGTCCTTCATAAATCTCTTCAGGAATACCTCAATAAGGGCTTTCAGTGATGTGCATCCATTGAGTAGTTTGTCAGTGGTTCGAACATGGCCCTAAAACGTTAGCTATGTCTTTTTGCATTTATAGAACAGAGAAACTTACTGTAACCTGCCGGATTAACTTGCTTTTCCAGTCCTTCATCTTGTTCATGATCATACCCCGCACGATTCCAAATGCCTTCAAGTATGTCGGCGTATCTAGGAGAAGTTCTGCGAGGATTCGATCTTTCGCCCCTAGTACATCATGGCGCATAAAGCTGAGCACCATCATGCGCGTTTCTATGTCAAGCCGTTCCGTGATCTTGTCCTAGAAGGCCTCCGGGTCCTTTCCATGCAGTCTCTTGTGATCTCCTTCAAGCTCATCTAGCACATCTGCATAATGGCAGGAAAAATTAGCACTGTGCATTAGCCCTTCATCTTACTGGAAATTGTCATACTGAGTCAGGGTGCACTTGCGTTTTCATCTAGTATCAAGTGAGGCTTTCCGGGCAGCAGCCTGAGAATTCGCTGCATGGAGGTTAGGAGGGCAGTTGTTGCTCTGGTTGCTGCCACTCTGGCTGCGGCAGCGTTCATCGCGGCGTTGCTGGTCACAGAGCTGCGACTGAAAACACTTAGTAAGATCAATAAGATGGTAAGAAACTCACATCCAAGGTTTCATCATCTATGAATATATGGAACTCTGGTCGTCAGAGTCAGAAAATGGAGACATGGTAGAAACAACAGAAATTTCAGGAGAATGGTATAAAAAACATAATATATACTTTGGCACAGTAAAAGAATGAAATATAGAGATAGTAGATGAAAAGAAACCCATTTTACCTCATAATTTTGATGCCTGTTTTGATTGTAGAGTTCAAAGAGAGCATGGCCAAAGTGAAGCAAGAATATGGTCATGAGCCAAACGGGGTCACATGACCTACCACTCAACTTCATCGTAGAGTTCACCTTTCCAACCAGGAATCCAGGAGCCAAAAAGGTAAGTCAAGCTTAGATGATGATGCAGAAGATATACTAACTACTTGGAATAGAGTTCACAGGTCCATATACCCTAAGGGTAACTCCACAACGAAAAAGGAAGCGCTCGAAGCACGTACGGCACACCTGGATATTGGAAATATTTTGTGTCATCATTGAGTGCTCTGTGAATCATTGGCTCAAGATTTCAAAGGGCCTCTTCGAAAACCTTCTCAGCACTTTCTTCTGTCTCCTTCCTAGAGTAGCTCTGTGAATCATCACAGATATCACCAAGGTTCAGACGTTGATGACAGCGACGTTGACGACAGCGACGTTGATGACAGCGACGTCTCCTTAACTCTGCACATAGAGTTGAACGGAGGCATAAAGTTGAAGCCCATCATACCCTTAAGCAAAGCATCATGTTCAGCCTTTGTGTGCAGACCTTCTGACAATCTCTGTGTTGGAAACGAAGCCTAGAAATCATCTCTAAGGTAAGACAGCCAGCCATGAAATTCGACTGACTATGACATGCAGAAAGCTGACATGAAGCCCTCTTTAGGTCTCTACAGCTCGACAGAAGATCATACGCTCGACCTGCCTCTGTTTGGAATCTTGACATATCTTTGTGTTCAGCCTTAAGAACTGCAGCCATCTCCAAAGGTAAGTACAGCCTTAGAAATATCTCCTAGCCTTAGATACAATGAAGCTGACATACACGCCTCTACAGAGCTTCAACTTCGACAGAAGAACATACCCCTCCTTGGAATACGCAGTATTAGGAGGGCTCTCCTAGGATTATCCTAGGATCTACTAGGTGCGCTAGCCAATTTGAAGCTATAGTGGTACAAGGCGTGGCCTTGCCATGCAACAATCCCACATTGCCAGCTTCGATAAATCAATTTAATTGAGCCTCAATTTATTGATCTATTTTGTGAACATCTGCCTTCCCTAGCTAGACCAAAATCTGGTGCATAGCTTAGGTTGTGTGGCCATTTAAAATCCATGAATAGTGACAAGTGGACCTTAGGCGGGCGCTCAAATCCACAAGTTTGAGCTTACGACCTCACTAGCCATAGCCCAATCATCGGAAGGTCCTTGGGTCGAAATGCCTTGCCACTCATCCTAGCGAATGCGGTGTGGGAATCTCATGCGGCAGCTCTATCGGACCCCTATTCCCCAGGCTGCTCTCTAGCAGCAAGATAGCAGAAATGTTACTTTTAATCACATGCGACAAATTCTTAGTACAGATAATACAAGTGATGCATTCTACAGTGATAGAGATACAGGTGGCTAGGAAGATCATTCTGACTCTAATGGCGATGGCAACAGGGTTTCTAGAGAAGCCCCCTTATCCCCTATGAATATCCAGCAGGTTGCAGAACAGATCGCCTAGGGTTTATGAAACCTTGATAAGTCAATGGAACCAGCTGATGATGAATTTGACAATCCCAATTCAAACAGTGTCAAGCTCCCAGTGGAAGACTCAGTTCCGGACGAAGACTTCCTCCCAATTAGGGAGGCCTCTCCTAATGATGATCCTAGGTTGGAAATGCAACCTCTAGCCCGCCCTGAGACGGAAACGCTGCCCCGCAACTTCACTGCACTTTCCGAAGAGTTTATCCAGCCTCACGATGACGGATCAGAACCGGTTAGACACAAGCGGGCATCAAACCCCATTACCAACTTTGAGATGTATATGGCAATGTGGTGTGAGAAGTACTCCATCCTAGGTGATGCTTACACTGGACTTCTTGAGGGATACAAACTTGTTGAATCAATGGAGAATCTTATGAATCTTCCAAAGGACGTGAGAACACTCAAGAAAAGACTTGTTTCACAACTGCCGCTCATTTCACAACGACACAAACTGATAGATGTCAACCAGGAGAAGTTACCCACGATGTCTCCAGCAGAGAGGTCACAGGCAGCACAGAAGAGGAGAGCCAACATGCATTAGGTGGATCTGTCGTCTTTAGTGACAAGACTATTGTCTTCGAAAGACTTTGTCAGGGGACTACACTCTGGGTTCGGGGCGTTTACAGATGCACCAACAGAAATGTGGGAATCGGAGGCCTGGCTGTGTTCTGTACGCACCACCTCAGGAGCCACAATTAGTTACGAGGATGGGAGTCCAATATTGTCATTTCGTTCAGTATCGTGGGGTGAGGTTTGGCCAGCAAATTGGCCAGGTTTTTGTAATTGGAATCGATCGCCAGGCTTGCATACTAATGAAGGATGAAGTCCTTGTACAGATCCAGCTAGTATACACAAGAGCAAGTTAGCACAAGCTATAAAGGTTGTAATTAACCAGCTGGAAACTCCTCTATCACAGTCTGAGAGACTTCTGTGTGAAGACGGCTTTGAGTATGTCCTACCGAAGGATATTGTGTCCCATGTTGAGATCTCCATGGATTACATATTCGAAGGCCCGGTTGCACCAGCCGATGCATACGTCTTTGATGACACGGCTCATATCTGCCGCATCCTGGATATGGCACGAAAGGACATTTGCCCAGCAGCCCAATCATGCCCACATATCACAGAGTTAGAGATTGAGGCATACGGCAGGGCTTGGATTGTGGATGCCTTCTGGGACACTTTTATATCGCTGCCAATGATCACCTTTATGGATGCATTTGGGTTGTTTAGGAACCGGTATCGTTCTATGATGGGCATATACATGTAACGCTGACTTCTAAATGATAGAAGACACAGAGGTTTCTTGCGTAAGGTTGACTTGACAGAGGAGGCAGGGGATTAGACACAAAGGCTTTCCAAGTAACACGTTACAGTATTGTAAAGAATACTATATTGAGTTGAGCACGAAGCTCCTATCTAAGGAAATACTATCTACTTATATAGTGGCGTCGTGCCTCATGGGTAATCTGGATAGTTGGCGGATAGCTAGATATTCAGGATAGTTCGTGGATAGCTCAATGTCATACTGATATTCGTTGCACTCAGTTTGCTATCAAACTCAAGAGCAAACTTGGAAATCTCCTCCTCAAACCTACAAGTCACTATACATATTTTGGCTTATCACACCAACAACAAGAGCAATACTACTCAACGATTGCTACAACCATCTATGATTCATTACACATCATCGCTCCTTAGTTACTGGGCTGATATTACCACATAGCATATCTCTACAACCCTCTATGATTCATTACATGACATCACTCATACTACCACATGACATATCTCTACCAACTAGAGGCCTAGGAGCATGAACGATAGCTCTAAAAGCTCCTACGAACCTCTATGATTCATTACATGTCATCGCTCTTTAGTTACCCACAAGATTGGTTAAGTTATGACATAATTTGTCTATGACATAATTTGTCTATGACATAATTTGTCTATAGGGGTACTCTGACCTTGGACCTCCTTTTACTTCCTATAGGCTACGAACCTAAGAGATGGTTCTATGGGATTCTCTTACATCGACTACAGTTACCAAGCCTGGTAATCATGGAAAGTCTTGGAAAATGAGAGAACTACACTCCTTTAGCATAAATAGGATTGCCCTTTCCTTAAGAAAGGGCAAGCAGACAATACAGTAAATCGACTATCACATACTTCCACGTCTTTTCCACGCTTCCAAACATTCATCTTGTTACTCCTTGTTTCTGAAAAGTCAGTGAGGTGTTAACCTCTGACTTACCCCTGAGTTCCCAGACTCAACATTTGTTGCAACTTGTCTGAACCACTTCACTACATCACACACCTGATTGCTGCGTTGTGGAATAGTCTAAGCTACGACCCTTTGGCTCTGTTTTTTAAGACAGTGTGTTGTCTTAGTAAATTCATCCCTTCCTTGGGTGGCTAGATTCTCACATCTGGTGCACCCACCATTACACTCCACTATCCAATATCCACTAGTTTCTGCAATTATCCATTAGCCCCGTCACATGGCAGCCTACCCCGCTTCCCACTGTGACTCACACGTCACGTTACTAGGCCCTGGCCCTGTAACCATGACATCATGTTACTATAGCCGTAACACTAGGTCCTCCTCCACAAGGCCTAGTCCCTTAGGTCTTGCTGATTAAGGAATCGCTTACTTAAGTAGGGTGATGCCCACTTAATTGTCGAGCAGGTTGCGCTGCTTACCATGTCTTCTAGTAGACACATAAAAATCAAAGAACGTCATCTTCTTGCAGACCGTATTGAAAAGAACGGCAACCTAATGTCGCCATGTTCCAGCTGTCTTCACAACAATCGATTCTGTATCATTGTTGCTGGTAGTCATCGTTGTAGTGAATGTACTTGTCACAATTCCAAATGCAACGCTTGCGCCCCTTCTCCAACTGATTGGGAGAAGCTTCGAAAAGAAGAAGAGCGTCTTGAGGTAGAAGAGGAAGCGGCGGCATCTCAGGAGCGAGAGGCTCACCTCTGCGCTCAAGAAGCATATGCCTGTCACATGCGTCTTCGCAAACAGCAGAAGGCTCTCAAAACCCGCGGTGTTGAGATGCTGCGTCGTGGTCTGAAATCTTTGGACGAATTGGATGAAGCAGAGGAGAAGGAGTGTAGGGAGGCAGAGGTCAAAGGGACTCTCTTGCACAGCCCTTCTACTGCCGTTTCCGAGGGTGCTGCCCCTGACCAGGACCTTTTCGTGGCCTTGTCTCCTGGCTTCTTTGATCGCTTGGGTGTCGACGGCGAAACGCCTCCAGTAGCTCTGGACAGCTAAGGTTTTTGACCGTTTCCCATGAATTGTCCGTAGGTTTATAACCTTTCCATTTTATCAAAAACTCTTCTTTGCGTCCTACTAACCTTCTATCTAGGATCGCCTCGACTTCGTATTCAACAATCTCATTCTCTGGTTGAAGTTCTGTATCTGTCGCAATTGGGGTATTTCCTCTTGCTGGTTCCATGTAAAGCGTAAGCCTAAGGGTCTCACGGGAGTCCAGGGAACCAGGTCAGGAGGCAGGAAGGTATCGTATTCTGTAAGCACAATAGGTCTACGTAGATACATCGACTATTGACTGGAGGCCTTCTTCCGAGGCCTCCAGCCCCTTTTATCCAGGCGCCTTGCGCCCTACTTTACCGAGCCCTACGGGTCCCACCAAAGGGGCCTCACGTGGTGGCACATGATGGCCTTCCTTACAATTACCCCCCCTCTTGGGGGAATTGCCCTCAATTCCGAGGTTTGCAGGTAGGGCTTGATTACCCTCCTGGCTTGTTTGGACTTTTTGTTTTGCCCCAGCTGGTGGGCTTGTTTGGGTGCACGCTTGGTGGGCTGGTCCCGTGACCCCCCTTGTTGTGGGTTGCCGCGGCCACCCCCTTTGTTGTGGGTGTCGCGCCAAACTCCTACTTCCAAACTCCCTATCGAACTTCCTTCCACCTTCATCCTGAACATCACCTTACTTCGCCTTTCGCCCTCGATCTTAGTCCCAACCTTTGATACTGTTGCTTGTTTCTTCAAGGTAATCACTTCCTTTCCACCTGGATTGCAGGAGCTTATCGTTACGGATAGATCTCACATCGTCCAACGAAGGCCATCACGTGCCACCACGTGAGGCCCCTTTGGTGGGACCCGTAGGGCTCGGTAAAGTAGGGCGCAAGGCGCCTGGATAAAAGGGGCTGGAGGCCTCGGAAGAAGGCCTCCAGTCAATAGTCGATGTATCTACGTAGACCTATTGTGCTTACAGAATATGATACCTTCCTGCCTCCTGACCTGGTTCCCTGGACTCCCGTGAGACCCTTAGGCTTACGCTTTACATTCCAGTAGTGAGACATGAAATACCGGGTGTAGTCTAGACTTCTTGGGTAGCTGCAGTCTGTAATTAACTGAGCTGACTTTGTTCAATATTTTGAATGGTCCCAGTTTCTTGAAGTCCAACTTTGTACTTGGTCGTTTCATTTTGATATGTTTCCGGAGTAGGTATACTTTATCCCCCTCCTTGAAGGCAGGTTCCATACTGCGCTTCTTGTTTGCATACGCGGCAGATCGTTCATTTAAGAATTGGATGTCTGTCGCGAGTTGTTCATGGAACGATTTGAGTTGTTCCACAGCGATCATAGCTTGTTCTGCTCTTGATTCATCCGGTCGTGGTTGTCTATATGCCTCTGGCTGATAGCCGTAATTGGCAAAGAACGGTGAGACTTTTGTTGCTTCGGTCATCGCGCTGTTATATGCGAACTGTGCGATGGGTAATATCTGAACCCAATTGTCTTGTTGGTGGTTGACATAACTCCGTAGGTATTGTTCAAGGGTTTGATTCAGTCTTTCTGTTTGACCGTCTGTTTGGGGATGGAAAGCTGTCGATAGCTTATGATTTGTTCCCAAAAGTGCCATTAAAGATTTCCAAAATTTCGAAGTAAAAAGCTTGTCTCTGTCTGAGATGATTTCTTCCGGTAATCCGTGATCGGCTAATATGACTCGAAGAAAGGTGTATGCGAGTGCTTCAGCATCGCTAGCTTCTAAATATGGCACAAATATTCCATATTTCGTGAGTCTTTCCGTAATAACCAGGATAGCGTCAAATACTACTCCTGTTAACGGGTCCCGAGAGGGTGGTAGCTTGACAATGAAGTCCAAAGCTATAGATTTCCACGCTCCTGTTGGTACTGGAGTCGATTTCAGCTGTCCATATGGCAAGTGCCTATTGGTTTTGGATTTGCTGCAAATGTCGCACTCTCTTACTACTGTTTCCACCTGCTTCCTCATACCTGGGAAGTAGTAGTGTCGGGTGATTCGTTCGAAGGTGCATGTTACTCCCTGATGGCCGTGTGCTGGTAGCGAGTGTTGTTCTTGCACTAGTGGGCGTCTCATTTTGTTTGGGACATACACTAATCCTTTGAATCGGATCAATCCTTGTTCATCGATGGCGAAGTCGCCTTCGGTTTTTATTAAGACTCGCTTTGCACATTCATCTGTTGCATAAGCTTTCTTGAGTCTTTCTTCCAACTCCGAGTTCTCCACAGTGGCAATCGTGGCTAGCAACTCGTTGTATTGCATTCCTGCATCTGTTTTCTTCAATATGGCTCTAGGTCTTTCCTCTTTAGGGCCGATGTAGTCGGTCCTTCTGCTAAGAGCGTCGGCTCTTGCATTCTCAGAGCCCTTGCGATATGTAATTGTGAAGTTGTAGGCTGCGAGTGTCTCTGCCCATCGGACTTGTCTGCGGTTTAAAACCTTGGTTGTGGTGAAGTATATGAGATTCTTGTGATCCGTCCATACCTGTACTGGGTAGGTCGATCCTTCAAGATATACTCGCCATTGCTCAAAAGCAACGACAATAGCTATCAGCTCCTTGTCATGGATGTCATAGTTGAGCTCTGCAGGTGACAGTTTTCTAGAGTAATATGCAACTGGCTTAAGCTTCTTGTCTTTGTCTGGCTGACTTAGACAGGCTCCAATCGCGAAGTCAGAGGAGTCTGTCTTTAAGACAATCCTCTTTGCAGGGTCGAATGTGACTAGGATAGGTGCTTCTGTGAACTTCGTCTTAAGTTCCTGAAAAGCAGCCTCTGCCTTGCTTGTCCATTCGAACGTAAGGTCTTTCCTTGTAAGCTCTGTAAGTGGTTGAGCTACCTTGGAATATCCCATAATAAACCTCCGGTAGAAGTTGGCAAAGCCTAAGAAGGCTTGTACTTCTTTGACCGTGGTTGGTGTTGGCCATTCCAACACTGCTGTGACCTTTGCTTGGTCCATTTTGATGCCATGCGTTCCGACAATGTAGCCTAAGAATTCTACTTGATCCTTGTGGAATTCGCATTTTTCTGGCTTGAGGAGTAACCGATGCTCCTTTAACTTCTGTAATACCTTCTGAACATGACCAATGTGTTCCGTTGGGTCTCCTGAGTAGACTAAGATATCGTCTAGGTAGACGATAACAAACACATCCAAGTATTCATGGAGAGCTGCATTCATGAGCCTCTGCATGGATGCTGGTGCATTTGTTAGACCAAAGGGCATAACCAAGTATTCGAACAAGCCATAGCGGGTGCGGAATGCTGTTTTCCACTCATCCCCTTTCTTGATTCGAATCAGGTTATAGGCGCCTCTGAGGTCCAGCTTGGTAAATATCTTGGCTCCCTGGAACCGATCGTGTAGTTCGCTTATCAAAGGTAAGGCATATCTATCTTTGATAGTGACATTATTCGTTCCTCGATAGTCCACGCAGAGTCTTAGCTTCTTGTCCTTCTTTGGCACAAATAGTATTGGACTTCCTGCTGGTGATGTCGATGGTCGAATGAACCGTTTCGCGAGGTTCTCGTCAATGTATTCCTTCAGTATGTCCAGCTCTGCTGCTGACATCTGATATATTGGTCCGAACGGTGGACTCTTTCCTTCCATGATAGGTATCTCATGATCCCATGGTTGGTGCTTAGGAAGCGCCTCTTCGGTAGGGCCTTCCCGGAATAACTGCTCGTATTCCTTATACTCCACTGGTATTTGCTTCAGTGAGGATGCCTGGGCTGGGTCATCAGACTCGGTGGTCGCACATAACTCCTTCCGGTCTTTGGAGGTTTTCTCCTTCTGCGGCATGTCCGTTCGTTGTTCACATGCGCATTGGCTCATCACAACTTTCTCATTCCGCCAGTCGATCTGGGGGTTGTGTTTCTTGAGCCACAGTACACCAAGTATGCATGCATGATTGTCCATGTGCACGATATCAAACTGTATCGTTTCCTTGTGTCCGCGTAGCATGACCATTTCTAATGGGACCGTCTCGTGGGTCACCATTCCGTTGTTAGTTGAGATGGGCTCTCCATCTACAACCATTAATGGGTATGGATCGGTCTTCAGCTGCGTCCTGAAACCGTGTGTGTCTGCTACTTTCTTTGTCATAAAGTTGCCCGTTGCTCCTGAGTCTATCATAGCTCGGAGGTGTTGCTGTTGTATCTTAGCAACCACATATAGCTGCATGCCGCCCATTGTGGCGCATAGCTGGTTTGTACTAAGCCTCTCTGTGTCGCTCGCCAGTGGCCTACTGCCGAGGACTCCTAGTTTTTTGAATCGTCTGAGGAATAACCGTCTGAGGAAAATCCATCATGTTCACCATATTCTAATGGTCGTAGAAGTGGTGTCCCTTCTCTTCTTCGTTCTGCTTCACGGCGTAGGCGTTCGTGTGCTTCTAACACTCGTGTTCCCTTTTCTTCTCTTGGGATGCTTTCCTGCTGGTGAGGGTATTCCGGTCGGCACCTCACTGTGCGAACTGCAACCTCCCAGTATTGTGTAGTGTCCTGCCAGCTCATTGGTGGCTTGGGCACAGGAATTCTTTGATCGACCGTCTCCTGAAGCATGGCTTCCTTGAAGGTTCTTACTGCTCCTGGCAGTTGTTCCTTGAAGAGAGTCTTACTTGCTGTCTTCTCAAATGCTTGTAACCATTGCTTTTGAGAACTAGTGAGCTCCTTGTCATCGTTCTTGTCTTCTCTGTTTGACAAGTGGAATTCCTCGAGATCCTGAGTAGTAATACTCCAGTTCTTTTTTCCTTTTAACGTGGCACATAGCTGTCCTCGTGGGGGGCTTGCACCCGCCTTGACCTTGCCAAGTAGCATTAAGCTGTTTGCCATACTTTTGTCCTCCATTCCCTTTCTTTGACTGTCTGCAGTTTCGCGCTATGTGTCCAGGCTTATTGCAGTTGAAACAGAGCTGTTCTTGGAACTGTCGCTCCTTGTTGGGATTGTGGGGTTTGCCATTAGGCTTGAAAGTAGCGTCAAGTTCCATAGGTTGGGGCCAATGACTCTTTGTTTGTCTTCTCTTCTGAGTCCAGTGTTGACTAGGTAGTCCCCCTTTCTTCTCGAGTTGCCGTTCGTAGTGACGATTGTCAATCTTCTGAGCCAATTCAATCATCTCTCTAAGGTCATCTGGTTTGTCAGACCTTGAGATTTTGTCCTTCACATGGTCTTTCAGACCTGCGTAGAATTGGTCACAGATAGCCTCGTCTTCCCAGTTGGTGAGTGTTGCATGCTGTTGAAACTCAGCGGTGTATGCAACTGCTGACCCTCTCTGCTTGAGAGCCTGGAGTGCCCTGACTGCATTTCGTCGTTCATCAATGTCTCCGAAGTTTGCCTTAAGCGTTTTGAGGAATCCGTTCCAGGATACAAAAATTTCCTTCGTTCCTTGTTACAGTATTGTAAAAAATACTATATTGAGTTGAGCACGAAGCTCCTATCTAAGGAAATACTATCTACTTATATAGTGGCGTCGTGCCTCATGGGTAATCTGGATAGTTGGCGGATAGCTAGATATTCAGGATAGTTTGTGGATAGCTCAACTATCCAATATCCACTAGTTTCTGCAACTATCCATTAGCCCCGTCACATGGCAGCCTACCCCGCTTCCCACTGTGACTCACACGTCACGTTACTAGGCCCTGGCCCTGTAACCATGACATCATGTTACTATAGCCGTAACAATACATGACAACACCTGTGCAATGCCTACAAGACCGAATAAAACGATTAAACAACTTTGTTCTTACCCTTGGGCTGCATGGTGCAAAGATGGACGACGTTATATCATGCCTTAGTGATATCCCAAAGCTTGATAAAGGCATGATTCTCTGAATCAACAGGAATAATAGGTTTGTAATGGCGCCAGTGTTATGCTTCACAGGCAATATGCCACAGCAAAATGACAACAGCGGCATTTTATGACCAAATGCAGGAAAGGGCTGCCAATCTTGCCTTGCTTTAATAGCACAGAAAGGGGATTTAGACTTTGACACGGTAGCACTTGGACGATACCATTACAGCCAGAAACAGATCAGAGCATATGGAGATACCCTGCCGCCAACAGCAAGAAAGAAGTATTTCCAGGAATGGGGGATGCACGAAAACGAGCCTGCTCAAGCTGACTCTGGCATTAGATACGATCCAGACGAAGCCAGGAGATCTATGCCATTCAGAATATAACGGGCAGGCTAAGCAGAGCCACAACCTCCTCATCAGAGCGATACTCTCAAAACCAGGGATGAGACGGTATTTCCAGGAATTTATCCAGTTCCTGGCACCAACTAGATGGAGAATGCGACAATCCCCCCTCCACCACCTCCAATCCTGGTCCCTCTTAGAGGCGGGAATGGCCTCAGTCTTAATGCCCCTTATCATGTCTCGTATGAAGCTTAGCAAAGACGATATTACGCCAAACTTCTTTGCTGCAATGAGGGGTGAATTCCGGGGAGGATACAAAGACCAACTCACAATTCAAGAGATATTAGTGCACTGTTTTGCCATGATGGCAAAATCTAACGCCATCACTTGTGCACGGAGGAGTAGTGAGCACCACCGTCAGGATGCCAGGCGCATCATTCTCCAAGGTTGACAGTTCTACACTCAGTTATGCACATGCGCTTCTGTCGCAGAGCAGATGAGCAAGTCAAGGGGCAGCAACAATAGTCAGGCTTCATCCCATGCTCCATCTATAGTCTCAGTCGACTTTGAAGTGGCGATTGAGGCCATTGGTGTGGGAGTCAGTGCTGATGTTAGCGAGTTTGATTGGGCAACACAGAGGAACTCCCTAAAACTGGGAACAAGCAGATCGAAGGAGTTTTAGCAGTTGGGGATCTCGACCAAACGTGCATCAGGGTTTACATCTTGATTATATCATCAACCGTTATGGGACAAGCTTTGCTTGTAATGTTCTGCACAGAGAAGACAAACATCGGTATGTTTAAATATCTTCTCTTCATGGGTTTGATTTACTTTCTAACTACGAAAAGCATGTTCAAACACTAGGCTCAATATTTGAATGGCCACAGTGTTGAGAAAGTGCTAATCTGGAGGGAATGTGTTAATCTCACGCTGCGCCTCCTCTTGAATGATGCCTTTGAGTATGACGAGCATGTACTTTCGACGCAGATGTGAAATCTACACGAGACGTGCCCCATACTAACGAACCACCTTCTCTCATCATCTAAGAAGTGGGATATTGTGGAAGAAGCCTCCATCAATGTCCTCCAGCCTGACTGCTGGCACATCTCGCCAAAAGCCACCCTATGCGTCTGCCAGGAGGATGTGGAGAAAGAGTTGGGTTTGCCTTTGCAGTCAGAGCAGCTCTAGGAGGGGCTTCTGTTCGTGCAAAAACTACGAGAGGCATATCGTGTGGATTACAAAGATCTGCATATTACAAGTCTTAGGAGCCGCCCATTGCAGTCAGTACTTCTCCCAGTTCAGTTTCATTGATCCGTAAGTTCAAGCTTTTATTTCCTTTCTATTAAGCATTGCAATATCTAACATACAGCACAGGGTAACTTTTAAAGTGGGGAGTTGCTTTACCATCTGGGGAAAGAGCATTTGCTGGTTTGAAGTTGGATTTGTTCACGAAAAGATTCCAGGCGAGGCAAAGCTGTTTGCAATTGTGTCGGATATCAAAGAATGCAGGACAGAGGACCTAGTTCTTCAACTCCCTCAAATGAGGGTTGTCTACAATAGCCAGGGAATCGTGGGACTTCCTGGCATTAGAAGCAAGCCGGTGTTCATTGTCAGCATTGATCCAGAAAGGAAGCAAGTCGCCTCAGTATATTCCAAAGGGCCACTGAGTTTAGATCAAACAGCATGCCAACATGAGCTGGATCTTGGCCTTCAAGGCTCACTAGTAGCAACGCTAGTGCACTGCTAGTGAGACATGGGAGTAATGTGAGCAGCAGGACTTCAGGATCCAGGCGCTGAACTGTAGGGAGGAAATGGCACAGATATAAGTTGAAATTGAAGCTGTATGAAGAGAATATAATTAAATTCCAATTCCATTTGAAATAATGGCTTTGAACTTCTATATTAGGTAAATTGGAGCTCTCTAGATTAAAGCTGGGATCCTTCCAGTTTGGGCTAGAATCCCACAAATCGCTTGCTTCCATACCTCTGCTGAGTTCACCATCTCTTCACCTCCACTCATACTTCTATGTCTTGAATACTGTATTTCTACTGCTGTTATTACCTTTCTATACAATCAACAACTTCACATTTAGATAGGTAAGCTATCTAAATGGCTTTGAGATGAGTTTGCTTCTGTATTTCTAATGCACCCAGCACAATACCAGGAAAACCCCGCCAAGCCTCAGCAGAGCTGCTACAGCTCATGTCATCATCTGGAGTATTTTCTCGGGGCATTTCAAATGCCAGTATCAGCTTGAGAAGCTTGATATTTTAAGAGGTCCAGTTATCCAAGCCCTCATCAGTACCACTGTTAACACAGATGACAGTCGAGCTGGCAGTCGTGCTCCCCAGAGTCCATTAGATCATCTTGCTAGAAATACATCAAGGCAAGCTTTCTCTCTCTATCTATTGTTACGATGGTCACAGAGGTCAAGAAGCCAGTCCGGAGAATAATAAGCTAGATTGAATCTAAAGAGAGAAGAAGAAGAAGAAGGAAGGAAGGTGAGGCTATTCCTCGTAATATACAGTTGTCCGCTTAGCGGTTGTAGCCTTGGTGGCTAAGGCTGCACCCGTAACAACCGTAACAACTGTAACAACCGTAACAAGCTGTAAGCTATAATCGTAATATCTATCACCACTTTTTCTAACTGAGTCTTCGCTAACTCCCCTCTTCTAATTGCAAAAGCCAAAACCACTCTTGAATCCATGACCTTGCTGAAGCCCAAGCTACCTATAAATCCCGCGCATACTCCATACAATTCTCTTCGCTCTAATGGACAGCAAGCCGACCCTCCCACATGCTGATCATCACAGTGGCAATGATTTCCAGATATTGGTCTCTATGCTGAAATTTCTCCGGCCTTTAATGCCATTAACTAAAGTATTTAGGTGCCAAGATATCGACACCACACCCTCCCATACCCTCAGCCCTCGACATCCTGTCATGTCAGCACCTCCCTAGGCTCATTCTGGGCTTCAAACCCAGAATGATCCCTAGCTAGGATGGATTCTCACAATCCAAAGCTCCCCATGTGTCTTCACACTAGATACTCAACACCAAGCCGCCTCCCACCTTAATGCTCGACACCTAGCCATACCCTTTCATGCCCGTATCTGAACTATCCCTCTCGATACTGATGCCCTAAGTGTAATCTTCTGTGCTAAGATACCTGGTGAGTCCTCGCTGCCGCCCACACTCCCATGGACAGCCTGAATATATTCTCAACTTATTTTCCGATTTATTTTCTCATTTCTAGGCATCTTATGAGCTTTGAAATGCTCTGCATAGTGCGCATTTTTGAGCCATTAAGGTAGTACTTTGCGCAGATCCTCAATTTGTATGGTGTTTTTGATCTTGAAGGGGTCGCCTGCCCAATTCTGAAAAAACAGAGGTTGCATAGCTCAGGGTTGATTTTGGCTGTGTTTTGGGGTGTATTATGCACGATCCGTGGAGCTGTTCTTAGGCAGCTGTCATCAGTGATGCATAGGCAGGTACTTCTGGTTTGAACGAGGTCTCCGTTTTCTCCTCTGCTTTTTCGTGTTTTACTTGTGTTTCTTAGCTCTTGGTTTAGAGATGGATACAGAGCTTGGTATTCGTTTGGGGTCCCTGGCCATTGGCATATATGGCCGGTTATACTCAACAGGTCTAGGTATCGTTTCGTTCTCATGTTTTGGGTTAATATTTATTAGCAGTGCAGCTCAGAGCTCTGGCAATGATCACCAGTGTTCAGCATGGATCGTGTATGACCTGAGCTGATCCGGATACTGATCCGGATATATCCTATCCGCCATAATTATGATCTATCCGTACGGTCTGAGGATATATCCAGATCTTACAGATAATGCCAAGAATAGCCAAGAGTAGCCAAGGCCACATAATAGACGTAGAATTGATTCTGTAATACTGGTTCAAATACCATCGTAATGTGACGATTACAGTAAAAATGAGCGACTCAGAATTATCAGATTTGCCGTCAGATCATGAGAGCTATTCTCAAATAGAAGAGCTATCGTTACCACATCTTCCACCTCAACCTACCCCTATTCAGCCTTCAGTTGAAGCAGTTGACGTATCGATTAACCTACCTCAACATCCAAGGGTAGTACTACCACCGACATCGTCGAAGCTCTTCACAAAGGGCTTATATCATCGGGAATTACTTGATACTCGGCCTCCGACCATAAAAATGATATGCCTACAACCAGGCTGTGGATATTCACTACCACCACAAGGATTAAAGCAATCGTCGACAGGTAATCTATGGAGGCATTATTCCTTAAAGCATCCAACAGTACCCTTAAAAATAAGAAGAGACAGCCGTCTAGTGTGTCAAGCAGTACATCATCGTTCTTCAACCCATGCCCATCAGCTCTACTAAAGCAACCTGGTAATCCTTCAAAGTATAAGGAGTTATTACTACAGTTCATTGTGTCGAATAATCTATCGATACACCTTGTTGAAAGCTATTCATTCCGTGAATTAGTTTAATTCTTAAGCCCAATAACTATGGCAATATCAGCTCATACGCTACACCGAGAACTACAGCGTCAGTTCTCATATCACTGAGGCCAGCTACAACTTGAGCTCCATTCTCATATTAAGAGAGGAGGCCGGATATCAATAACGACAGATGCATGGTCTGCACGGAATTATACAGACTACGCTGCGATTACTGCACACTGGATCAACAATAAATGGCAACAGAAATCTAAAGTACTTGACGTTGTACATCTTCAAGAGCCTATCCATAGCGGCGAATATCTAGCTCAACAATTAGCAATTGTAACGGGCGATATGGGTATTACAGGAGCTGTCTTTACCTGTACAAGGGATAACGCCTCAGCTAATACTGTTATGCTTGCGGAATATGAGAAAATAGCCAGAGACCAGGAAGTTACAACACAACAACCCTGGACGTTTAGAGCCAAGGAGGGAGATGTACGATGCATAGCCCATATTATCAATATTGCTGTTCAAGATGCTCTTAAGACTTTAAAAGCAGCCCCTGCTGAGCAAGTTGAGAGTTATCGGTGTGAGCAGGGAGCTGCACGGATTCCAGTAAGCTTCGATAGTAATATTGAAGTTAAGAATACTCTTGGTAAGCTACAAAGACATATCTATGTATTCAGAAATCGAAGGCAATGAAAAGATGCTCTTCAAAAGCAGACTATAGCAGCTGGTCTTAAGAAGCTACAACTATCACTCGATATGCCAGTCCGGTGGAACTCAACGTACGAAATGGTTTCAACAGCTATTAAGCTACAGATGCCAATTACAGCGATCTGTGCTACTCAGAAAATGGATCTAAGTATGAGAGATATCGCTCTTACACCAGAGGATTGGATAATGCTCCACGCTCTTCAGAATTTCTTCTTTATATTTGTTAAGCCGTCACAAAAGCTACAAGCTAGCTTATATCCAATGCTCAACTTCGCAATTCCTCAGTATCTAAAGATGATAAAGAAGCTTGAGGCTTTACAGAAGGAAGTTGATATATCATCAACGATCGGCCTAGCTTGTATCGCTGCTCATAAGAAGCTTAATGAGTACTATACGCTTTGTAAGGATGCCTCCGTACCTAGATACTCGAAGAACCTGTCTCAGAACTGTTACGGTCACTACAAACATGGAATCTGACATACTCGAAGAACCTGTCTCAGAACTGTTACGGTCACTACAAACATGGAATCCGACTCGGTGAGGTTTCGAACCAGTAGAGGATCACATAGCGAGTTACACTATAGTGGGGGATGGTAAGTGTATAGGGTTCAGGGCTGATGTAGACCTGTTGCGGTGGAAGGTTCAGGGCTAGGGTTGGGATAACCGAGTCGGGCCCGTTTCGGGAGTTAAGGAAACAGACTCAACGGAGTTCCCCCTTCATCTTTTTTGTATCCTTCGTAGTAGACCTATAGGATAGAATACAGCATCACCTCCGACTCGCACTCCCATATGCACCTACGGAGAGCCGTATTCCCTGTGTCCTTACACGCTTGCTATGAATCAATGATGGAGTCATTCAGGGGTAGCTACAATTTGCGATCCACGTATGAATCTTAATGTATTCAACAGTCTTTGGCCAAGCAGTACTGAAGAAGTCAAACGGAATAGGGTTAAGCAGCAGTTCCACGACGTCTTTATTCAATATAGAGACCGCCAATACTATCTTGAAGAAGAGAAAAGGGAAGCTGAGGCTGATTTACCACAATTACCTACAGAACGTGACTCCGACGACGATTTATATCTCTCTCATAGTATTTACCAAGAACCAGAATGGAAGCGCTGGCTTGTTGAGCCCCGGCCAGGTCCAGCAACAGATATCCTCAAATATTGGGCAGCAAAGCAATATCAATATCCAATTATAGCTGCAATTGCTCGAGACCATTTGGCAATTCCTGCAACATCAGCTCCATCAGAACGGGTCTTTAGTAATGGAGCTGATATTCTTACGAAGAAAAGGAACAGGCTCTCTCCTGAAACACTTCGATATTTACTCTGTTTACGAGATTGGGGTCATATACTAGAGGTTGAAGAAAGTGAAGCCGAAGACGCTGATCACGAGGGGGAAGAGTAGTTATATAAGTTATTTTATCTATTCTATTTTTATATTTTAAGCCTCATTATCCTGAAGATCCGGATATAACCCGTATCTATCCGTCAGACCTCAGACGGATCATGATCTTACCCGTGAGGGCTCAGGATCAGATCCGGATACGATCCGCCGAACACTGATGATCACACTCGTTTAACGG